GCATTCCTATTATCGCGTACACTATAGTCACGACTTTGCCCCATTTCGTCTTGGGATAAATGTTGCCGTAACCTGCGCAGTAAACGAGAACATAGCCAAGTGAGTTTATCGACGAGCTACGCGTCCGCTTCCGTCCCGTGTTTCTTGCTTCTTGCCGCGTCCGTATATACGTGGGCTGATTTATTTTTGATTAATTTATCGTAGAGTAAAATTTCGGTAAAGTAAAACCTGGTGGTAGTATCGCGCCGCGTGTGGATTATTAATCGAGAACGTGCGATTGAAATTTTTATCCCGAGAGAATATCATGTGATCGCGATAAAGAAGCATAAAAGGGATAGGCTTTCCTAATGATCAAGATAAAAATCTCTCAAGATATTCTTTCTGTCTATTTGTCCATCGTGAATATCCTTATCTCGTCTTACAAGTGATTTATATGCGTGTCCAAACGATAACTGACTATACATCTCTCGATATTTCCTCTGGAAATATTGCTTTGTAATGCGACATTCTCGGTATCGAGTCCTCGTGTATAACCGACTCTCCATTATCGCGTAGATAGCGATATCCGCATCAATTATCTTCTTGGCAATTCAACCGGACGTTGTTTCAACAGATGCGCCCACGAGAGTTGGACGGAATCCCGAAAGTTTCGTGCTCACCCCATGGGAGACGTAAACAATCCCCCGACGGACGAGCCCGCTCGGATATTCATGTTTAATAACGTGGCGAAACGTGCTCCATAAAACCGAGCAGATGCTGGGTCTTTAAAAAAGAGAGGAAGAAAGCGCCGAGGAAAATTTCGCTCATAAGTTCGCGATTCGTTGGAGGTTGAAAAAAAAGTACGCGCCGTTTCCCGCGCAAAAATGATTTTTACGGAGGGAAAATGTGTGTGACAGTTTTCCTTCATAACGATCTGTGCACCCTGTGTTTTCTTTTTTTTTTTGATTTTTCGATTCGCTCGTTAACGCGAAAGAAAATAAACACGGACTCTGATCGCGAACGATCTCTGATCTACGGGAGTATTTTGCTCGCGCAGAGTCGATTAATATTTCTTAGTTAAAAATATCAAATGATTGTACATTGTAACACTATGACTAGTAACCGATTGCTTCTCGCGGCGATAATAAATTCCGGCGCGGTTACGGCACCTCGCCGTTGAAACGAGTTTAACCTACATAGCTGATAAATGTTGGCTAAACTTGGACTTGATAAAAAAAAAAGTCGTATTAATATCTAATTTGTCGCGTTGGCGTTTTGCGGAAGCTTCTGCAAGCCAGATTTTAAACTAAAAACTGGTATATCTCATTACCGATATTAAATTAACATTGCCACATATTAAATATATCGGGATAACATTAATCTTTCCGCGGAAAGAGAGACGCTATCAATATCAGATTCTGCCGATATTGTTATCTCAATTCATTTATCGAGTGACAACGGTTGTTCACATTTCTGCTTTTTCGGGAGAGTTTTAGCCATCATCATACAAAAAAAAAGAAGTAGCAACAAGCTGTAGTCCACTGCCAGAAAACCGATGCGCGATATCGAGGGCGAATCGGAGCGTGTCTTGTAATCAAGCGAAAGTCGTAGCAAAAAAAAAGTTGTCGTCTTTTTTTTCATACACACGCGAACAAATATACAGAAGATAGAGAGATAGAGTACAAAAGGGGAACGTGACAAGGGTATGCATTCAGCGTGATTTTTCAGGAAAACCGCATGTCGAACTTCCGCTTCGAATGCGGAATATATGGGACGCGGACTTCATTTTCGAGACCTCTCTTTCTCTTTCTATCTCTGATGGTCTCTCGAAAATTACAACAGCATCGTCCGGTCGAGTGCAATTCTTACGGATCTCGGGCCAAACAAGCAGTCGTCGCACCGTGACATTGTACAATTTACATTTTGATAAAAATTAAAAGTTCCGAGAGAAAACACGCACCGGGACTCTGACCGCGATAAAAAGAGGCGACTTCTCGCGAGAAAGTAATCTGCATAATAAATTTACGTGACTTTGCAATTCATGTGTTCTTACTACTAGCATTGTTGAAGCACGTGATTACATAATTTTCATTTCAAATCACAATTTGCTCATAATTTATTTTACATTTTAGTATTGTGAACAACGTGATTACATAATTTTCATATCAAATCGCAATTTGCTCATATTTCATTTTACAAGCCCGTCATATTTTTCAGTTTTTCTTTCTTTCTCTCTCTTTCTAACGTTTCTCTCGTTTCTAACGTTAGTATCTCTAAAAAAAAAAAAAAAAAAGCATTACAAATTTTTGTGACATCTTACTTCCTGAACCACCAATTTCGCGTTCTATCAGTCAACATCGTAAAATTGAATTCAAAATTGATTAAAAGTTTAAATAGCGCGCACGTGCACGCACGATTATCCCGAATAGGGTGCGAAATTTTGTTAGTCTGAGAGACGATGCTGGCACGTCTCTAACGCAAGTCCCGAACAATATAGACCGAGATCTCGTTAATTTTGGAGAATCGGCGACCGACGCCGATTTACGGCGGACGGCCCGGCGTCCCACGTCTTTTAGTCTGCGATAAAACCGGCCGTAAAGCCGGTAAAGCGCTAAACGGACGCTTAAACGCGGGGCTCCGTAAATATCGCGCTTTACTCGGAGCGTTGCTTTTCGCGCTCCGAGAATGAAGAAGCCCGTAAATCGCGCGGTTCGCGATTTACGTTTGCGAGGAGCGAGCGCGAAATTCGTGGCGCATCCTCGGGACGAGATCGTGCTCGTCGACAGTTTGACTTATGACGCGCGACGTGACACGCGAGACGCGATCTTAAGAGGGATTCCCTCACGAGCACATTGACGCCCCGAGGGAAATTTTATAAAAGAAGAGGAGGGAAGGGAAAAATGGATAAAACGTTCGCCTGATTGTGACAGGATGTTTAATTAAATGATCGTAATATTATATCGAACAAGATTTTTATGTGGATATACTGTTACTGTTTTTCATATCTTTCTATCGCGGACACCTTTCAGTAAAAGAAGTTTGCTATATTATTTTAATTTTTCAGGCAACTTTTCTAAACGTCAAATCTGAAAAGATTAGGATATCTCGCGAGCATCCTTGTTGTCGTTTTTACGAGCTATTGCGGCGTTGATTGTCCGTCAAACGTGTGCGATTCGCATGTATAAAATAGAGAAATAGATGTATAAAATGGAACGTATAACAAGCGGGAATTAAAGGGGCGGAATTGAAGTCGCTTAACAATTTATTCGAAAATATCAAATTCGCCAGGGGACAGGTTGCGCTCGTTTGCACGAAGGAAAAAAAGATTCTTCCGCGAATGTTTTATCGATGATCGCGAAACACAGTCCATCTAAAACGGCGAAAAGTGTCGAAAGAGAGAGAAAGATTTTTTTTGCGCGTTGAATAAACAACCGCTTGCAGCAACATTCTTCTAATGGACGAATGAGCAAAACGACATTGTTAGTCTAATCGAGATATATATATGTATATACATCGCGCAGCTAGCCAATGTGCGATCTCTTTTTTACGTATTTTTTTGACACTCTATTGACGAGAAAAAAAGCGACAACACCGGGCTCGGATGTTATGCTATGATTGCAAACTATCTGCGATTGCATTGTATGACGATAAACGCTACAAACACAGTTTATATCGACTTGACAACTTGTTGAACGATTGATATTCGAACAAAATCAAATTGTTTACTTTCTTATCTTATCCCATAAAAAATAAATTATTATTTTTCTGTTTTATTACTCTTATTTTTTATTTTTATTAAAAAATGTAAAAAAATAATACGACAGTATATTATTATGTAATTAATGACAGAGAGAGAGAGAGAGAGAGAGAAAGAGAAAGACGCGTTAGCTCTATTTTAAGAATATTAAAATGTATTAAAACATTCACTATTAAAATGTTTTACAAATTGTAACATTTTCATATTATCTGCCATTTTAACATTAGAAAGGTTAAATTCCCGACAGCCTCTCTTTTAAGCGGCCGCAAATGAAGATGTTACTTTTATAGCGGGGCAAACTCCATTTTATTTCGCGCTGGTGTACGAAGCTTTGAAGTTAAATATACACACAATTGTTCGACGCGTCACTCAAGTTACAAAGGCAATCAAGAGTATGCATATTTTTTAATCAGAAATTCCGGTGTCGGTTTTTATTGTAATTTTTCGCGACATCTTTCTTTCTTAAAAGGTTTTATCTAGGAGAATAGAATTCTATCTTAACATGAGGAATCTACGCGACCTCTGTGAAAACCTCCGTGTTTTATTCGTACATTTCGGAGGAGAGGTTTCGCTGCAATTCAAAAATAAGAATGCAATAAATACGACTGTTGTCAGTGCACAGAAAGCAGAAATCGAAAAAAAATATTTTTTTAAAATTGTCTCAATCAATGTAATAATATTATGTGCAATGATATCAAGTAATATTAAGAATATTAAATCGATTTAATGTTTTCGCCATTATTTGAAGATTTCAAAGCGCAAAATATTTACTCGTAAAAGCAGCAGCAGTCTGGATAATCAATACTTGTCAAAATGCAATATTTATTACAGTCGCACGTTTTTGAATATTACTATTAAATCCGCAAACATACCACAAAATATTTTGCATTGAAAGGCTATAACAATATATCTATTTTAAAGATTTAAGAATAAAACAATTTAAAACCGAAAAATTATATTGTATAAATAACGCATCTCCTACAATAACGCAATAACAGTAGAATACTTTAAAATATAATTCTATTTTTTCCACTTTTGCATATAGGCGTATTCACCGATTTCTGCAGTGCTTGGTTTCTCGAGTAGTTTCGACATAATCAAAAATTAAATTCGTGTCTTCCATAAAGATTTAGGTCTCTCGCAAATTGTTCGACAAATAATAATTTAAACAATACGATGCTCTTCATTTGTAATTTTATGGCGGAATCGAAGCTCACCGAATCTCTAACACATGTTTAGTGGAATCTATTGAACAATGTCTTCAATATAAAAACATGGATATTTTTATTAACAAAAAAAAGATATATGCTTTGTATTTTTATCATTTTCAAAAGAC